TTACGTGATATAAAATGTGTCTGAATATTGTTACTTTAGTACAATATGGTTGTATGAATCTAGAACAGTGATGGCGAACCTTTTAGAGACCGAGTGCCCAAACTGCAACCCAAAACACATTTATGCATCGTTGGGTGCTGGGTGGGTGTGGCCCATTGAGTGGGCACAGCTGCGGTGTTAACAGCAGACTGGGTGGGACTAAAAAATTCAATCAAGCAATTCCAATTTGCAAGATCTTTTTTTTCCCATGAGAAGTTGAAATTTACTGATTGATTGAACCTTTTTTTTTTTTTTTGCACACGGCGGCGGCGGCGGCGGCCTAAAGCGAAAAGGTTTTATAAAACCCAGCTGAAGGCCTAGGACTCGGGCAATGGCACGCGTGCCCACAGAGAGGCCCCTGAATGCCACCTCTGGCACCCGTGCCATAGGTTCGCCACCACTGATCTAGAAAATGCACTGCAATATGCTATTAGTGGGAAAACGACCAATATATTTTAATAATCCAGCTAGAGGCAGAGTCTCCACAGGGTAAGAGCAAGTAAGATGAGCTACAGAAATCACAGGTTAATTGGAATCAACAGAAACATTCAGGATAAGCCTATGGTTGTGTACTGGAACAGAAAGATGAGAAACAAAGACTTTTATAATTGATTTCAAAATCTTATTTCAAATCCATCTAGCCCCTTAATCCGTTTATAACTTTTCAGATCAATTTTCTAATCACACTTTTGCTGTGTGTTCCAAAAGAAGAATTTTTTAAAGTTCTTAAACTTGCATAAAACTTGCTTTCATTAAGAATTGGAGGAGACTCATCTTATGTGATCTTACCTTTCCAAAGGATGGAGATGGATGGATGGATGGAGAGACACACACAGAGAGAGAGAGAGAGGGAATTAACAAGAAATTTCCAGAAGTGAGTAAGAACAGAAGTATGTGAACTCAGTGTCATTTTGAAGGCTCCGATTTGTCTTCTTCCAGGGAGCCATTGTATGGAGCAGTTGTAAGCAATTCCAAAACCCAGGTATTGTGGCTTATTCAATAGTGGTTTAGGACAGTGTACGAACCCGATACTCTGCCACATAACTCCTCATCCCAAAAAAGGAAGCATTTCCAAATATGCACTAGAATATAGCATGGGAATTTAAGAAGTGGAATGCAACTTACACCAAGCTTAAGCACTTTTCCCCTAGATGTCATGAAAGGCTAATTCTTAGACAGAGATTACACTCTGATAAAATGACTAGAGAAGCTAAAATATACAATTCAGCTGGAAACATATTGGCAAGCATGAGTCAACAGATTAGGAGTTAAACAAATGTAAAACTAGAAGTGAAAAAGTGGGTGAAAGGTTATATGTACATCTTACACAACTTCTTCAGGAAAAACACAGGTTATATTTTAAAAGCGGTTAGAGTCAATAAAACTTTGCCAATGAAACACCAATTATAACAGGTTTTTAGAGAGTCAGACAGGAGACAAATAAGCTTCTGCCAAACTTGTGACTGCTGAGGACACTCTTGTCTCTGAAGCTATTATTTTTCAATCTTTTAATCTAAATAACTGAGGATTAATTACTAGGCATTATTGTTTTGCTATATTTTACCATTCACTTTTTGTCTGAAGTCAGGTCCACATAAAGAGATTTTAGAAAATTGAACTAGTTTTATTACTTAAAAGCAAAAATACTGAAGAAGCATGGGGCTACACGTAGAAACATTAATGGGTTATTAAAAATGCTACATTTCAATATTATAAACCATATTGCATTATATATACACACACATGCATACATCTATATATGTATATTTAATTATCCAAATCCCACCAACTAGTTATTGAAATTTTGAGTCATTCAAATTTGAGCCCATCATTTATATACTATTAAAACTTTTGTATCCATTTGATTGTTTGCCAACCTTCAATTGGGTGAAATGGTACAGCGTAGGACATCAATTTTTTTAATCAATGTCCCTCAAATGGTCTAACACAGACCAAAATTTGTCCAAAATTTGGGATCCATGACTCCTGTGGGATTGAAATTTGGCAAAGATGTACTGCTACAGTGCTGCCACAGCTGCAGTCATGTGATCTTCATTTCCAATGCTCTGGTCAGCTTCCTACAAGAAAAGTCAAAGAGAAATCTGGCAGGAAGTCAGAAGTTCCTCCGTTTCTACTGCTTTTTTGTCCACCCATGGTCGTTCTGTTTAAGTAAGGAAGTGTCTCTGAAATAATGAGTCATGGGTTGTCTAGTATTCAGTAAAGCTGAGATACCCAACATGTGATCTATAAAAATAAATATTATAAATATTTAAAAATCAATAGGGTGACACACCTTGTATGTCTAATGTAAAACCTAGTGGAACTGTGGAGCATTTTGGAACTAATTCAGAAAAAACCCAGTATACAAACATAGCACTTGTTTGCAATTCTTTAAAGAGCTGAATTCTTTCTATTTGCAGTTGCCACATGATTCTGGCCAAAGATACAGCTCTTTAAAGAGCAGCAAACAGGCATTACATTTATCTCCCATCTGCTACAAAGCTTCTGACTGCCCTAATACATAGTATTTATTAGATTTTTATCCCAGCCTTATCACTTTATAAGTAACTTAAGGCGGAGAACATACCTAATACTCTTTCCTCATTCTATTTTCCCCGCAACAACCCTGTGAGGTGGGTTAGGCTGACTGGATCAAAGTCACACAGTTGGCTTTCATGTTTTAGGCCTTCTAGTTTCTGGCCCAGCATCTTAATCGCTATACCAAAGTGGCTCTATAATTTAGGAGCTTATATAGACTAAAAGCATAATCTTTTACTTATTTTGTCAAATGCCCTCACTGTATTGAAGTTGAGCTAACTATTTGATAACCATAAATAGGATTACAGCCTAAGAGGATTATTTTCATAAAGGAAGGTACAATATTTAAGTCTCAGATTTAAACCTACATTCAGGGAGGAGTTCTGGCAATTCTAAGAAGTATTCAATCTGCGCAACTTCTTGGAGAAATTTATGCAACAAGGCTTGTTTGAACATTATCTGAAATTCTAAACAGAAAAAAGGCTTCAAAAATGTGGGCTGGATGTTGAATGTAACAGTTAATAGTGTGAGTCTCTATATGTGAAAACGTTGGGGGACTTTAATTTTTGAATTGGAATTTGTCAAAAACATGTTTACAGAAAGATACAAACCTTATAATTAAATGGCTACTATTATCAAGTTAATTTTAAAAATACTGTACTTCAATAAGAATAGTTATTGCATTTCATCTCTCTGAAGTAATCTCTTCTGAGCAGTCATCCCATGCAGTGAATTCATTTAATTCCCAAACTTGTGTACTGTGTATTACATTCTAATTCTTAGTAAGCCAATGAAAATATAACAATTGAAAATATAACTGAACATACTAGAAAAAAGCAAGCAAAATGCTACAAAAATAAAAAATGGTCTGCATCTTAGGCAGTCGTCCTAGGGATCTAAGAAGCTATTCCAGAATTTGAGGTTACCACTGAGAAGATATTCTAGGCCAGTGGTTCTCAACCTTTTTAATGCCATGACTCCAACCAGTCGTAAGTCGAGGACTAAACCGGTCGTAAGTCGAGGACTAAACCAGTCATAAGTCGAGGACTAAACCGGTCGTAAGTCGAGGACTACCCAACCGGTTGTAAGTCGAGGACTTTCCCAGCCCAGGAGCGCCGCGCTGCGTGGTTCCGCCCCCTGCGCCGGCCGAGCTGGCAAGCGGCAAGCGGCAGAGACGGAGCAGGCCAACCACCAGCTGGCCCAGCCCAAGGGAGGTAAGGCACCCGCCGGAAAAGGGGAAAAAAATGGTGGACAGCCTTGCTTGGCGACCCCCGTGAAATGGTCGATTGACCCCAAATGGGGTCCCGACCCACAGGTTGAGAACCACTGTTCTAGGCTCTCACTCCTGATGTAAGGGAATCATGAGCATCTCCACAAGTACTGCAAGGACAGGACAGGATAGGCTGATTCTGCTTGGAGATGTTCGTGAGATTTTTTTATTTATTTGAACGTATTAGCTGTCAAACTCCAATGGACTCTGGACAGTATATAAAACTGAAAAATCCATAAAGACAGGTACAACATCAAACTAATGAACAGCTCAGGCTAAAACAATCTTACAAACAAATCAAACAAACAAACAAACAAACAAACAGGTAACTGAATTGCGAGGCAAATTCTACAACCTAACTTCCAGGTTAGATTCCAACAGGTGCACATATTTGCCTGAAGCGGATTATTTTATTAGTCAATGAATAAAATTAATGATGGAAACAAAAGATTATCTTCTCCCATACCTCACTATATTTATCTGGATCTTAAGATCACATTTAAAGAAATTTATTAATCTCTTATTGAATGATATGGGTGGCTGCCTAAGAAGTGGTCTTTCTCACAATCCTGGTCTGTTCAGGTGAAACTTTTTTTTAAAGGAAGAAAAATATAAAGTTTTAAAAAATATGATTTAATGCTTTTTAGATCTTGATAACTACTACTGCTGGTCTTCTATTCAGACATTATATTTTAGATCTTGGATGACTAGACTCTCTGAAGGCCACCCAGGGAACCTACTGTTAAAATACAGTACAAAAATACTATAAATGTATAAAATGGAACTGCTTCATTACCAGAGAAAATCTATTTCAGGAGGATTTTGAAAAAAAAAGCATTTGGGGGATTATTCAAGAATATATGCATGGGGCAAAGAACTGTATTTTCATGAAGTCGCATATTTACTATTTTCTTTAAAATTAGTAGAGTACTATGAGCACTCTACTAATGAGTATTATGAGTACTATGAGTACTCTACTAATAACTGGAAGATTACTTAATGCACTCACTGAAATCTAGTATTTGTCTAGTAGCTTTCCTCTCCAAACACCCTTGCCCGGTTGGTTTTGATCTCTTGGGAGGTCGTCACGCTGCCGGCCGCCTTCCTCTCCCCCTGCTGCCCCCGCCTCAAAAGTCAGCACGCACCTGCCTACCTCGGAGACGATGGTGTTGTCGTAATACTCTCGGCTGAACTCCCAGCCGTCCAGGCACTCCTCCTGCTCCACCTGGCTGAGATTGACATCGCGGCCGGGCACCAGGTTGCCGGCGGAGAAGTTGAGCAGGGCCTCGAGGCGGTAGCGGCTGCACTGGCTCCGCACCTGCCGGCCGCCGCGCTTCTCCAGGGGGATGCTGGCGTTGAACCACTCCGCGCTCAGGCTGGCGTTAGCCGGCAGCCGGCACCAGTGCTCGGGAGTGGCGGCCAAGAAGACAGCGGACAGCCCCGTGTAGCCGTTGGGGATGATGCTGGCGCTGAGCAGGAAGAAGATGAGGCGCTGGAAGGGGCCCCATTCGCCCAGAAAGGCGGTGGCCTCGTCGTAGTTGAACATAACTGGCGACAGGCAGGCAGGGCGAATGCAGAACAGGCCCGGCTGCAGCACTCGTTAGCACATGCAGCAGTTCCTGCTGGCCCGGGCGAAGGAAGGACGGAAAACTCAGCCGGTCGCCGGCAGTAAGTGGATAGAAACAGGGGCCGCTTTTGGAGGCTGCCTGTGGGTGTGGTTTATATACAAAGGGCTGGAGCGCCGCGCTCGGCCCGCCGACGAAACCCGGCCGCGTCTTTTGCAAGTTCCCGCGCGGAAGAAAAAGAAAATCACCGCCCGCCTCTTTTTTTTTTATTAAAGGCTGAAGGGATTTGAGTTTATTATTAAAGTCCCGCCCGGGAGAATGAACGATCACGCGGAGAACTTTGCTTTAAAAGTCAAAAATGTGCCATTGCTGTACCGGTCGGTAAACAGGGGAGGTGATCGTTTCGGGATGGAAAGCAAACTTTTTAAACCGTTTTAGCGTGTCTGCGTTTACTCCGAACAGGCGATTGTGTAAACTGTAAACGGATACAGACTCTAGCAGCGCAAAGGGGTGTGACAGCCGGCGTGGCTTGAAATGTATTGCTTTAATAAACCACATTGTTTATTTAGGGCATAGGCAACCATATTTGCTTAACATGTACAAAACTAGTAAAATATCTAATAAATCTGGTGAACAAACTTTGCCTCGTCTGCCCTTCTGACTCTGTTACTGTTTGTCCCTGGATTTCTAAGAACAGTACAGAAGTTAGTTATCCAGTTTCCTTACTTGCCCCGTCCATTTTATTTATTTTATTTAGGCTAATGAAATGCTCACACCAATTTCTGTAGACTTAACACTAAGCCATAGATGTTTGTTTTGTTTGTTGTTTCTGGCATCTCATAAAATCTAAATTGATAAATAATGGCTTTGCACTATGACCACTGTGTTATGTTCACTAAATCATAGTTAAAATATATTATCAGTTATCATATGGAATCCAACTTTATGGCAGCCTTTCCCAACCAATTTATATACCCCCCAAAAATATTTTGGAATAGTCATATTCCCTCTATGCCTATTACCATATTCCAATACTGCACATTGGTATAAACTTTTATTTTTTGAATAGAAAGCAGCACAACAAGCAACATTGACTGTTCTAAAAGCATTTGGTAGCACCCAATCCAATCATTTCATGCCTTTTAAAGTAACTTTAAAGTGACTGTTCTGGGATTTATTTACTGTAGGTTTATTTAACAAAAATATACATTTAAACACAAACAAAATATGTTACTCAAAGGTTGATGCACAAATTGCTATTAGATTTCCAAACATTTAGCTTGGGAAGCCATAAATACGTACACAATTATTTATATTTTCAGTTCTTAATGTACTTTTGTTATTCAGATTTGCTCCAAAAGAAATTTGTTTGGAGCAATGAAATCTGTGATGATGATTACTACTGAAATGACCCATGTCACAATCTGTGTGACCTTTCTCCACAATATAGTCAAAGCAGCAGGTAAAATGTTCCAGCTGAGGTACTTCAAATTCCAAAGCATTGCCTGAAGTTAGTATAATTAAGCATTTTGTCATGAGCTACTTAAAAAAAAAATCAGGTCACACACTTTTTTTTCTCAAACAACTAACTAAAAGTATAAAGTAAGCCTAGCATCCTCATTATCAAAAAATATTTTGAATAAATATAGATTAGTTCTTAAAATTTCAGAATCTAAAATGAACCAGGAAGATTATTTCTTTATATGTTATAAATGTTTCTATACAGGGAGCCCTCAAATTATGACCACAATTGAGCACAAAATATATGTTGCTGAGACATTTGTTAAGTGAGTTTTGCCCCATTTTACAATCCTTCTTGCCACAATTGTTCTGTGAATCACTGCAGTTGTTAAGTAAATAACACGATTGTTAAGTGAATCTCGCTTTCCCATTGACTTTGCTTGTCAGAAGGTTGCAGAAGGGGATCACATGATCCTGGGTCACTGCAACTGTCATAAATATGAACCAGTTGCCAAGTGTCTGAACATCCATGGGGATGTTGCAATGGTAAGTGTGAAAAAGTCACTTTTTCAGTGCTGTTGTAACTTTGAACGGTCACTAAATGAACTGAGGACTACCTGAATTCTCAACTCCATCAGGACTCCTGGTAGTTTATATAAATCTAGTGGCAGAACATAAAATTCAACAATATAAGTAAATCTAATTGCAGATCCTACTACATAATAGGCAGATAATAGGGTGGCACATTTTTTAAACAAGGTGAATTTTTTTTAAATAGAAGTAGTGACTGAGTAAATGTCGCTAATGAGCTTCCAGAAAACCAACTGTCAAATCTTGGATTACCACATATCTAGCAATGGCTTTTTAAGGCGTTTCTGTTAGTTACTGTACTTAACAAAAGGTTAAGCATACACAATATGGGCGTGTACAGTTTCTTTAAACTGGTATGTGGCAATAATCAGGAATCCAGGTGAGAACAACATTCTAGATAACTAAAAATGTGTGCTGTTTCTTTCAGTTTGGAGCAGTTTTCTGACCTGGCCTGGATTCAGAAGTTAAACTAGATAAGCCTGGTTATCCATGAATGGTCAGACTGGGAGGTCCAAAACCTTCCAGAAGAAAAGGCAAATCATTTTGATGCTATGCCAGAAAAGCCTGTGCAGAGATGTTCACGAATTTATGAGGAATCAGGCTCACCTTGAGGTAAACTGAGGGTATTTTTTAGTGGAACAAAGGTGATGGGAATGATATGAGCAGCATGACAACTTCATAACCCAAGCCCTGTCCTTTTTCAAGCCCTTTTCCATAGCGTCACATGCATGTACACCCAAAAGGGGCAGAGTTTACAATTCTGCTTTAATCATTCTGAGTAAAAGCAGCAAAAATATGTGGATCCTACTGAAGGAGACTTTTCCTATACTGGATGTTCATTTTCCTTCAACCTTGAGTTTTACAAAGCAGAAATGTAATGGGAGAAAACCTCAGTTTCTACCTCAAAATATAATCCTGATATAATGAGCCGTGGTGGCGCAGTGGTTAGAATGCAGTACTGCAGGCTAATTCTGCTGACTGCCGCCTGCCAGCAGTTCGAGTCTCACCAGCTCAGGGTTGACTTAGCCTTCCATCCTTCTGAGGTCGGTAAAATGAGGACCCAGATTGTTAAGGGCAATATGTTGACTCTGTAAACCGCTTAGAGAGGGCTGTAAAACACTATGAAGCAGTATATAAGTCTAAGTGCTATTACCATAAGTCTAAGTGCTATTGCTATGAATGAAGATGTGATCTGCTCGAGACTGAATTCAAATAATATACACAGCTGTAAAATCATGTTTTGCAAAGCACAATGGCTTGATTAAATTAACACAGAAAGTCAGGACTAAGTTATATAATGACTGAGTATGTGGCATGAGGCAGGTAACCCTATAGACAAAAAATAATTACATAGTTGTGCTTATCTGTAATGCAAATAGTGGCTGGGAGAGGAATAAGGAAGATTTTTTAAAAAGCAAAAAGGGGTCTTACTAGTCCCATATTAAAACTATTCTGTAGATATTTTAATTAAAATAAATCAGAAAAGAATGGTTCATTATTTATTATATATATATATATATATATATATATATATATATATATATATATATATATATATATATATATATATATATATATATATATATATATATATATATATATATATATATATATATATATATCCTTCTATTTTTACAAATAAGGCAATGAAATATATCCAACACATTTTCCTTCTCTTTTTCTTACATTAACAACCCTGTGAGGTGGGTTGGATTGAGAGAGAATCCAAAGTCCAAAGTTGCTTTTCCAAAACTGACAGTAATATTTCAGATTTAGCTCTAATATATAAATATGCATTCACAATATGTGTACAACCATATTTCCCATGTAACACCAGACTACACTCATCTGTCCAATTGTATTGTTGTCACCTTTATATCTATCAGTTATATATTACAGTGTGTGTGTGTGTGTGTGTATTCTAATTATATATTAGGAGGGATTCAACATATGCATGAAGCAGTGAAATATATTACTATACTTCAGTTAACTCTAACTTTTACTTGCTATCTTGGAGTTGATCACTTGGCCAATACTTGAGGCTTCAAAGGACCCTGTACAGATTTTTTTTTTGAGCATACTCCAAGAAGGGAATGTGCCATGGCATCTGAATAATTACAAAAAAATAAAAATTATCCTCTTCAGGAGAAGCCATTTATAAGACAAACAGGTGCATATGCAAAATCACAGAAAGATACAGCTGATAAAATTACCAAAAGAACAACAACATGGTGATCAAAATAACATTTGGAACAAAAACACACCAAATAGTAAACTGTACTTCTAATAGTAAAAGTACTTCTACTTTGACTGGTTTCATGTCCTCTGACAACAGGATTGTTCTTTTCTCTCAAAGGTATCTCATCTTTTCCAAGTAAACTACTCAGTTTTATAGGACAGTGATCTGGGCCCTCAAGAATCTTGCATTTTTCTCCATTGCCCAAAGTTGTGTGTGTGGCCTCTACAGATACCCTTATTGAATTGTAACTTCAATGTGAAAAATTTAAAAAACCCTATTATGATACTTTAGGACCTTTTAAAATTTTGCCCAACAAACAGTCCATAGTGCTTCAGGCAAAAGCTGAATTTGGCCTGAAAAAAATTGTGGCATTTATGTATGGCATCCATCCTAGTCACCGAAGAGTTGAAATAGAATTTCTTGTGGACACAGATACAAATATTTTAATTGGAAACATTTAAGTTGCTTCAATTATATTCTTTTCTTTGCACTACTCTCAGATAATTGTTTTTTGATTACTGAGAAACTACTTCCTTAAAAGCTTTTCACTATTTCAGATTCAGTCATAATAAATTGCAATTACAGCTAATGATGTTAATCAAAAACTACCATCAGTAAGGTACATATGTATTAGGCAGCATGAAAGAGTCCTTGCTTATTTATACATTTTTCTAGGCACTGTACATATATTGTA